AACACAGAGCATTATCACAAAGATCAAAAAGGAATGTGTCCAGGAGTTATGAGAAGGAAAAATCCCGTGAGATTCAGCACAGACCAGAAAGAGAGCAAGGACACCAGCCAGGGGAGAAAATGGGTAAATTTATTTCCTGTTGGGGAACTCAGAAGAGTGTCAAGGAAACCACAACACAGCAGGAAATCCTCATGGGAAAGAGGAAAAATACATGCAGTGAGTGTGGAAAATGCTTCACTAAAAGATCAGGCCTTTCTCAACATCAGAGAATCCACACAAGGGAGAGGCCCTACGAATGCCATGAGTGTGGGAAAAACTTCATTAGGAGCTCAGCCCTTTCTGCACATCAGAGAATGCACACAGGGGAGAGGCCCTATAAATGCCGTGAGTGTGGGAAAACCTTCACTCAAAGATCAAACCTTGTTCATCATCATGAGAGAATCCACACAGGCGAGAGGCCCTATGAATGCAGTGAGTGTGGGAAAACCTTCACTCAAAGATCAGGCCTTTCTGCACATCAGAGAATCCACACAGGGGAGAGGCCCTACGAATGCCATGAGTGTGGGAAAAACTTCATTAGCAACTCAGCCCTTTCTGCACATCAGAGAATCCACACAGGGGAGAGGCCCTATGAATGCCGTGAGTGTGGGAAAAGCTTCACTCACAGCCCAGCCCTTTCTAAACATCAGAGAATCCACACAGGGGAGAGGCCCTATGAGTGCCATGAGTGTGGGAAAAGCTTCAATCACAGCTCTCACCTTACTGGGCATCAGAGAATCCACACAGGAGAGAGGCCCTATGTATGCAGTGAATGTGGGAAAACCTTCAATCACAGCTCGCACCTTACTGGACATCAGAGAATCCACACAGGGGAGAGGCCCTATGAATGCCGTGAGTGTGGGAAAAGCTTCACTCACAGCCCAGCCCTTTCTAAACATCAGAGAATCCACACAGGCGAGAGGCCCTATGAATGCAGTGAGTGTGGGAAAACCTTCACTCAAAGATCAAGCCTTGTTCATCATCATGAGAGAATCCACACAGGCGAGAGGCCCTACAAATGCCATGAGTGTGGGAAAAGCTTCATTAGCAGCTCAGCCCTTTCTGAACATCAGAGAATCCACACAGGGGAGAGGCCTGAGGAACCACCTGATCAGCATCTTGTACAGCAGACAGGAGAAGATCAAGAATGAGCTCTCAAAACTGGAGACTCTCATACAAAACCAACCTTCCACACAAACTTCCACATGGCTGGACTTGACAAAAATGAGACAAGCCATTTACAATGCACACTTCACTTCTCTACAGAGGAAAAAGGACAGTAAACTATCTAAACTCCTACCTGCCACAGGGGGCTACAACAATGGCACCCTCAACTCACCTAACAATATTGTTAGTCCATCCAACCACACACTTAGCCCGTCAGAAGAGTCTGTCCTATCTCGGGGACTCTTTCTGTCCCACCATCCCCACAAACATGATACAGTTTTGCGGTGAACTGGAAGCCTACTTTCGTCGTCTCTTGACTCAAGGAATATTTTCAGTGCACCACTGAACAGTGCACTAGCCCACAGGAACCCTCCTACCAACACTACAAGAACAAGAACTCTGCGTGGACTCCGCCTGACGGTCGAAATGACAGACTGGACCTCTACATAGAGTGCTTCCGCAGACGTGCACAGGCTGAAATTGTGAACAAACAACATCACTTGCCCCAGAACCTCAGCCATACAGAACATAATGCCATCCACAGCCTCAGAAACAACTCTGACATTATAATCAAAGAGGCTGACAAAGGAGGTGCTGTAGTCATAATGAACAGATCAGATTATGAGTAGGAGGCTGCGAGGCAACTCTCCAAGACCACATGCTACAGGCCACTACCCTCTGATCCCACTGAGGAATACTAAAAGAAACTACACCATCTGCTCAAGAAACTCCCGGCTACAGTATGGGAACAAATCTACACGGGGACATCCCCAGAGCCCCGACCAGGGCTATTCTATCTGCTACCCAAGATCCATAAACCTGGAAACCTTGGACGTCCCATCATCTCAGGCATTGGCAGTCTTACCGCAGGATTATCTGGCTATTTGGACTCTCCTCAGACCCTACGCCACCAGCACTCCCAGCTATCTTTGAGACGCCACCGACTTCCTGAGGAAACTACAATGCATTGCTGTTCTTCCTGAAAACACCACCCGGGCCACCATGGATGTAGAAGCGCTTTACACCAATATTCCACATGAGGATGGACTACAAGCTGTCAGGAACAGTATCCCTGATGAGGCCAAAGCATGCCTGGTGGCTGAGCTTTGTGACTTTGTCCTCACCCACAACCATTTCAGATTTGGGGACAACTTATACCTTCAAGTCAGTGGCATTGCTATGGGTACCCGCATGGCCCCACAGTCTGCCAATATTTTTATGGCTGACTTAGAACAACGCTTCCTCAGCTCTTGTCCCCTAGTGCCCCTCCTCTACTTGCACTACATTGATGACATCTTCATCATATGGACTCACGGAAAGGAAGCCCTTGAAGAATTCCACCTGGATTTCAACAGTTTCCACCCCACCTTCAGCCTGGACCAGTCCACACAAGAGAGACATTTCCTGGACACTACAGTGCAAATAAGTGATGGTCACATAAACACCACCCTATACCGGAAACCTACTGACCGCTATACGTACCTACATGCCTCCAGCTTCCATCCAGGACACATCACACTACCCATTGTCTACAGCCAAGCCCTAAGATACAACCGAATTTGCTCCAACCCCTCAGACAGAGACAAACACCTACAAGATCTTTATCAAGCATTCGTAAAACTACAATACCCATCTGGGGAAGTGAGGAAACAGATTGACAGAGCAAGACGGGTACCCAGAAATCACCTACTACAGGACAGGCCCAACAAGGACAATAACAGAACACCACTGGCCATCACATACAGCCCCCAGCTAAAACCTCTTCCGCGCATTATCAACGATCTACAACCTATCCTGGAAAATGATCCCTCACTCTTGCCTTGGCTACACTGGCGCTGTACAGCGCTGCAACTTGCTGTGCTCAGGGGTGTGAAAAAACACCCCCCTGAGCGCAGCGAGTGCAGCGCTGTAAAGCGCCAGTGTAATCAGTGCCTGCAGCGCTACACGCTCCCTCGCAGCGCTGCAAGCTACTCCCCTCGGAGCTGTGAATCCTCAAGTGTAGCCAAGGCCTCTCACAGATCTTGGGAGGCAGGCCAGTCCTTGCTTACAGACAGGTTTTTTGGGGGGAGGGATAGCTCAGTGGTTTGAGCATTGGCCTGCTAAACCCAGGGTTGTGAGTTCAATCCTTGAGGGGGCCACTTAGGGATCTGGGGCAAAAATCAGTACTTGGTCCTGCTAGTGAAGGCAGGGGGCTGGACTCTATGACCTTTCAGGGTCCCTTCCAGTTCTAGGAGATCGGATATCTCCATATATTATTATTATTTTTATTATTATATACCTCACTATCACTACTGATATGTTGTGTGGTTGGTGAAGTATTCTACGCCAGAGAAGTGTAAAATTACTCCAAGTAAGGTCAAAGATTTGACAAGAACTCAGGTAGAAATTGCAGGTACTGGTGGTTGATTTTCATCCCAGAGATGGAAGCTATGGTGACCTGTGGCCCAGGTAAACTATTTTTAGAACACTGCTCCCTAGTTAAGTGGCATTGATCACACTCCTAAAGGATGCCATGATTAAATTGGGAACAACTGTCTTTACCATTTGGATCCAAAATTTCATGAAGCACAGAGAGAATCATAGAAGATTAGGGTTGGAAGAGACCTCAGGAGGTCATCTAGTCCAACCCCCTGCTCAAAGCAGGACCAACACCAACTAAATTATCCCAACGAGGGCTTTGTCAAGCTGGGCCTTAAAAACCTCTGAGGATGGAGATTCCACCACCTTCCTAGGGAACCCATTCCAGTGCGTCACCACCCTCCTAGTGAAAAAGTTTTTCCTAATAGCCAACCTAGACCTCCCCCCCTGCAACTTGAGACCATTGCCCGTTGTTCTGTCATCTGCCACCACTGAGAACAGCTGAGCTCCAACCTCTCTGGAACCCCCCCTTCAGGCAGTTGAGGGCTGCTATCAAATCCCCCACACTCTTCTCTTCTGCAGACTAAACAAGCCCAGTTCCTTCAGCCTCTCCTCCTCAGTCATGTGCCAGCCCCCTAATCATTTTTGTTGCCCTCCTTTCTCTAATGGGGGGCCTAAAACTGGATGCAATACTCCAGATGTGGCTTCACTAGTGCCGAATAGAGGGGAATAATAATTTCCCTCGATCTGCTAGCAATGCTCCTACTAATGCTCTTAGCCTTCTTGGGAACAAGGGCACACTGCTGACTCATATCCAGCTTCTCATCCACTATAATCCCCAGGTCCTTTTCTGAAGAACTGCTGCTTAGCCAGTCGGTCCTCATCCTGTAGCAGTGCATGGGATTCTTCCGTCCTAAGTGCAGGACTCTGCACTTGTCCTTGTTGAACCTCATCAGATTTCTTTTGGCCCAATCCACTAATTTGTCTAGGTCACTCTGGACCCTATGCCTACCCTTCTGCGTATCTGCCTCTCACCCCAGCTTAGTGTCATCTGCGAACTTGCTGAGGGTGCAATCTATCCCATCATCCAATTCATTAATAAATATGTTGAACAAAACTGGCCCCAGGACTGACTCCTGGGGCACTCCGCTTAATACTGGCTGCCAACTAGACATTGAGCTGTTAATCACTATCTGTTAAGCCTGACAATCTAGCCAGCTTTCTATCCACCTTATAGTCCATTCATCCAATCTGTACTTTAACTTGCTGACAAGAATACTGTGGGAGACCATATCAGAAGCTTTGCTAAACTCAAGATATATCACATCCACTGCTTTCCCCATATCCCCAGAGCCAGTTATCTCATCATAGTAGGCAATGAGGTTGGTCAGGCATGACTTGCCCTTGGTGAATCCATGTTGACTGTTCCTGATCACCTTCCTCTCCTTCAAGTGCTTCAAAATGGTTTCCTTGAGGACCTGCTCCATGATTTTTCCAGGGACTGAGGTGAGGCTGACTGGTCTGTAGTTCCCTGGGTTCTCCTTCCCTTTTTTAAAGATGGGCATTATATTTGCCTTTTTCCAGTCATCCTGCACCTCCTCTGATTGCCATGAGTTTTCAAAGATAATGGCCAATGGCTCTGCAATCACATCAGCCAATTCCCTCAGCATCCTCAGATGCATTAGATCTGGACCCATGGACTTATGCATGTCCAGCTTTTCTAAATAGTCCTTAACCTGTTCTTTCACTGCTGAGGGCTGCTCACCTCCTCCCCAGACTGTGTTGCCCAGGACAGCAGTGTGGGAGCTGACTTTGGCCTGGTCTGCACTATGAGTTTAATTCGAATTTAGCAGCGTTAAATTGAATTAACCCTGCACCCATCCACACAACGTAGCCATTTCTTTCAAAATAAAGGGCTCTTAAAATCGATTTCTGTACTCCTCCCCGACGAGCAGAGTAGCGCCGAAATCGATATTGCCATTTTGAATTAGGGTTAGTGTGGCCGCAATTCGATGGTATTGACCTCCGGGAGCTATCCCACAGTGCACCATTGTGACCGCTCTGGACAGCAATCTGAACTCGGATGCACTGGCCAGGTAGACAGGAAAAGACCCGCGAACATTTGAATTTTATTTCCTGTTTGCCCAGCGTGGAGAGCACAGAGGTGACCACAGAGAGCTCATCAGCACAGATAACCATGGAGGCCGATAATCGAAAAAGAGCACCAGTATGGACCGTATGTGAGGTACTGGATCTGATGCCTATATACGGAGAGGATTCAGTGCTAGCAGAACTTCGTTCGAAAAGACGAACTGCCAAAACTTTTGAAAAAATCTCCAAGGGCATGATGGAGAGAGGCCACAATAGGGACTCAGATCAGTGCCGCGTGAAAGTAAAGGAGCTCAGAGAAGCCTATCAAAAAACAAAGGAGGCAAACGGTCGCTCCGGGTCAGAGCCGCGGACATGCCGCTTCTACACCGAGCTGCATGCAATTCTAGGGGGGGCCACCACCACTACCCCACCTCTGACCGTGGAGTCGGAGGTGGGGGTAATCTCATCAGCCACACCTGA